TGATTAAAGATCTAAATATTAAAATAGAAACACTAAACTTGTTGGAAGATAAGCTGGGTGGAACTCTTGAAGATATTGGCGTAGGAAAAGACTTTATGAACAAATCCTCAGTAGTATGGGAAATAGTACAAAGAATCAACAACTGGGATCTCAACTTTTTAAAAATTTCTACACAGCAAGAGAAATCACCAACAGAGCTGAGACAAACTTCAATGTGGGAAGAAAAATTTTCCAGCTGTTCCTCAGACAAAGGTCTACTAACAGGAATATATAAGGAACCCAAACATATTAAACCCACCAAATATAAAGATCCCATTCAAAAATGAGTCTGAAATGAACAGACGTTTCTCACACAAAGAAGTGAAAGCAGCAAATAAATATATGAAGAAATGTTCACCATCACTGGTCATTTGAGAGATGCAGATAAAAACAATGCTGAGATTTCACCTCACCCCAGGAAGAATGGCTGCTATCAAGAAATCAACCAATAACAAATGCTGGTTGGGGTTGTGGGGAGAAAGGAACCCTTCTCTATTGTTGGTGGGAGTGCAGACTGGTGCAACCACTGTGGAAATCAATATGGAGATACCTTAAACAACTAGGACTGGAAAGCCCATTTGACCCAGCTATTCCTCTGCTGGGTATCTTCCCAAAAGAATTAAAAGAATCATACCATAGTGATATATACTTACCCACATTTATAGCAGCACAGTTTGTAATAATTAAATCTTGGAAACAGTCCAATTGCCCATCAACTGGAGACTGGATAAAGAAGATGTGTGTGTTTTTTAAAATAAAATGGAGTACTACTCAGCCATAAAGAATGAGAAACTAGAGACATTTAAAGATAAGTGGATGTACATTGAGGATATACACTTAAGTGAAATTAATGGGACACTCATGTGTAAATACCATATAGTTTCTCTGGTGTGGTGAACTAAAAGTGTCAATAAGGGTCAAAATGTATAATTGATATTTTGTAATAGGAAAGCAAAAGTCTAAAGGTATTTGGCAAATGGGAGGCGTAGGGTAAAGGTAAAAAGGGAAGAGGAACAATAAAAGAAAAGGAAAAAATGGAAACAAAGTCTTTGTAAATAAGGAAGGGTGGAGGGGGTAAAAGAGGCTAGGAGGGATGGGAAAAAAATAAGAACCAAGATACATCATGTAAAGGTATGAGATTTCAGTGATGAATGTAACTATCATATATCTAAAATGTACTAATAAAAATATTTTAAAAAAATGATTGATGGATGTCAGAGCACAGAAGACCTCTCATACCAGGCTACACTGTAAATACAGTTTTCTAGGAATTCGAGACCCATGGACTATATTTGAGTAAAGGAACAGCCTGAATGAATTTGTTCTTTAGGAACATTTTCCTCGTTCAAAATTAATAGACTTGGTCAGAAAAAAATTTGAAGTCATGGAAATTAGCCAGAAAGCTATTATAATACCATAGGGATAATGAAAAATTAAACAGAATGGTGAGAGTAGAAATGGAAAAGAGGAAATGGGCAGAAAAAAATATATCATTTGTCAATTTCTCCTGTTCATTTGTACAACTGAAACTAAAGAACCAAATATGCGAAATAAAACAAAAAGTTCATGATTAAGTTCTATATTGTGCATTGCAAAATAAGATCTATTGGTGTTCAGAGAGAGAGGACCTGGGGGTTAGAGTGGCAAGGGTAAAATTTAGAAATATGAGATGTTTGTGCCTTCCAGGAGAGAAGAGCATGCCAGAAAGCACAGAAGCAGAATGAACATGGCACAGTTGTAGCTCAAATAAGCTCACCAGAGGATACGAGCGTGTCTGCAGAGGTGGACACATGGCTGGGAAGCTGAGACAGGAGCATCTCCTGCAGCAGGCCTTATCCACAGAGAGGTTGATTAGTAGAGGAGTTTGAAGGTCATGGTGGACTTTTGCAGAAAACTAATTGGTACTCAAGGAAACATGGAAAAAAAACTGAAGAGCAAAAGTTCATTAGAAAGTCAGAAGAATTTGGAAACTGCATATAATGGACAAGCGGCATGAATAAATCAAAGATAATGATAAGACTCTCAGACCATGTGGATGGGACTGTCTATACTTTAATTAGTTGCTGTTTGTTATTTACCAGGAAGATAGTGGAGGAGCATTTACATAATGCGTCCATGAAGGAAGATGAACAGCTAATTTATGTGCATATTTCTCACTTTAATATATGAAATAGTGTATTAATATAGTGCATAAGAGAAAACTAAAAGGGAATTAGGGATGGCAATGCAGAACTTATTAGGAAAAAATGAATACATTGTAAAAAATGAAGTTTTAGAGAAATAAATTAAAAATAAAACTTGAAAATTATTATATTAAATTTTTAAATTCAAAACTTGAGCTAATTTCCATAATAAAATTTTGTATGGAAAAAGGCAGCATACATTTTCTGATAAAAATTCTTAATTTTGATTTCCTCCAATTTTTATAGTCACCATCAAAGAAAAAACTGTATGAATAGGTGACAAAAATCTAACATTGTTCCTTTACAACCACTAAAAATATAACAACCCTTGAAATTACACTTAATGCAACAGATCTACTTTCCCTGACAAACATAACTTGAATGTTTTTAAATCTAATTAAATATCTTTATGTCAAAAAATATGTGTGCTTATGTGCAGAATGTGCATATATCTTTACTGCAGTTGCTATGCAGCTATTTTGGATGCACATAAAAAACACAACAGTCACTGTTAGCAGAATTAATCAATGTAAGGTGGAGACATCAGTCTCCCTTTGTCTGTACAAGGAGGAGCCCTGCTGGGTCTCTCACCATTCTCCCAGCTCCCCAAACAATCATGATCTTACCTGCACGGTTGTGGCTACCTTGATGTCCTGAATCAACTCAAAATTGTTTATTGGTACATTCTAGGTATACAGTACAGTTACACTCATTACTGGAATCTTATACCTTTCCATGACAGGTCTTGGTTCTCATTTTTTCCCCTTGTCCCTGCCCTCCCTGCACCCCCTCCTCCCCTCCCCATTTACAAACACTTTATTTCCATTTTTCACTTTCTTATATTTTTTCTTTTCCCTTATTTCCTTTCCCCTACCCTTCCCACAAGAAAGTTGGACAAAATCCTTCACACATGCACACACAAAATAACTTTGTTAATAATAGAGTTATTGATTAATCACATAATAGTTAACAAATGGAATCAACTACCAATTACTGAACATACAATAGGTGTAAAAAAACTTGTGCTTCTTGATTTTATAGGCACCATGTAACAGAATCCATTCATTCACTTGCTCACATTACTCCCATCCAAGTACTAACCAGGTCTGACCCTGCTTGGCTTCCGAGATCAGATGAGATTGGGCGTGTTCAGGGTGGTATTGCTGTAGACTCTTCACATTTACTGATGATCCACTCTTATATAACTGGAAAGCCTAGTTTTAGTTACTAAGTAATGAAAATATGCTCGATTTTATGGAGTCCATAGTCTTGTGGACAAGGCAAATTACCAAAGAAATACTTGAGAAACTAAAAAACAGTGATATGCTCTATAAAGCAAAATTAATATAAAGGAATAAAGAGTAATGGAGTTATGAATGCTACTTAGAAATTATATCAAAGAAAAATTCCCTGAGAAATTAGATTTGAGCAGAGCCATGAGTTGAGTGAGGAGTTGACCATGCAAAGGTGACAAAACAGAGTTGTGAACAAAGGAACTGTGAGGTAGCTAGGCTGTGGCTGTTAACCTTTGAGGTTTGAAGTGTGTGAATGAAGCCCAGGACCCTGGGATATCAGGTAATCACCAAAGGAGTTTGGATTTTCTATAGACACAATAGAAAATTCTTAGAAAGTTTAGAGAAGAAAACGGCACAATTGGATTTGCTTTTCAAAAGCAAATTATATTGTGTAAGGAACAGTTTGCAAGTTGTGAAGGGTGGCAGGGTGAAGCTGGTGGGACAGTCAGGAGGCTATCCATTGTGCCACTCCATGCAAGAGACAGAGGGAGCTGGAGGTGGGTTTGGGGAAGAGACAAGCAGTGAGGACAAGTAGCCAGTTCTGGAAGTTGATGAAACTCTTCTACAACTTCTGTTTCTGAATAAAATAATTATTAGTTGCAATGAAGAGATTTGAGAAATGAGAAAAAGGTATGAATAACATAGTGGCAATCTATGGAAACTACTAGACTTCTCAGTTATTTTCTTGTCACTGAAACACAAACTGGATACCCAGAATTTAAAGCAGGAAGGGTTTATTTGGGCTCACAGTATAAGGTTTCAGTCTGTAGATGGCTGGCTGCAAAGCAGGGTGGCATGGCAGAGGGGCTTGGAGGCAGTGCACAACAGAGAGAGAGAAATCAAGGGAGAAGGGAGAGAGATACACTTGACCAGGCCGCGTTCCAGTGACCCACCTCCGCCAGCCATTCTTCGCCTCCCGTCAACTCATGGCGGACCAATCCCCTAATTACCACACACTCACGATCTAATCACTTCTATGAGCACATGAGGCTTTGGGGGACATGTGCACTGCCAAAAAGTGAAGGACTTATTTAGGTTTTAACGTCTAAAGATGCCCATCTTTCTGACTTTGCGGTAGGGGCGTGACAGTGTAGTTAAAACAGGTCCTGCACTTTGGGCTCAGTAAGGATTTCTTTCATCAAGTCCACTGTCTCTTTTGATGAAGCCCAGGTTCTCACAATCGCCAGTGTTTTCGGTGGGTTCCCAGAAGTCTCCTAGGCAGAAGTCGTCAGGAGGGGCAGTGATTCCTGGCAAACAGCCAGCTATCAACTGAGTGAGTCACCACTACGGCCCAGCTTTCATTCAGGGAAAGGCCGGTTTCCTGATATAAGTGGGTATACTGGTAGGAGGTGCTGCTCTCGAAGAGCATGGAAGTTTGCTTTCCTAAAGCTATCAGGAGCCTTCCAGGGAGGGGAACAGGTGCCTCAGCTCCTCTGCCTCGCTCCTGCAGAAACCTGAAATGCGTCTCTCCTTTCCGATCCTTGACGTCAATCTCCGATAGTCATAGAGCCTTTCGAGGGCGGTGGAGAGTCAGGGGAGGGTGACAGAGAGGAGAAGCCATTGCAGCAACAGCTTGGAAGAGGGAGCTGGACAGCTCTGGCAAGAGCCCGAGCTGGAGCCAGGGAGAAAAACCTGCTGGCTCCAGGAAACGCTAGGTTGCTGCAAAGAGGGGCGGGGAGAAGGCGGGGGCGCTGCACGCAGCGCGCTGGCTCCAGCGGTGCCCGCGGGGAATGTGACATCAGCGGCGCCGGGCGCTTGCGGCTGGAGGAGGCAGCTCGCCTCGGCTGCGCGGTGCACACCTCGCCCGGGGGAGGACGCGGACCCCGTCAGGCGGGCGGTATGTCGGCGAAGGAGAGGCCAAAGGGCAAAGTGATCAAGGACAGCGTTACCCTCCTGCCCTGCTTTTATTTTGTCGAGGTGAGTTGGCCCGGCGCCTTGGCATAATGCAGATCTTCCCAGCAGCTCCGGAGTGAAGTCAGGTCCTGCACTGTTTGGGAGGCAAGGAGACCATGCCAGGAAGCTCGTCGCTGTCCCCAAATGCCCGACCCTCTCCCTCCCTTTCTCCCCGGTCTTTAAGGTGCTCCCCTGGTTGTGCCTGCGCACACCTGCCAGTCCGGGTGATTACCGCTAGAGGTGTCACTGCTGGGCGGCCTGAGGGAAGGGATACCTGTGTGAGTGCGGGGCTGGTTCCCTGGCCCTGTCTATCAGCGTGCACAACGGCAGGCAGTGCCCCAGGGGCCATGATGCCCATATTTCAGGATCTGTGTCTTCAGTCTGCTGAGCATGTATTAAAACTCCGTAAGGTTTTCGTGAGAATTCTAGTGCACAAAACTATGCTCGGGTTTATGTGACCTGGGGTGCTTATTTAGTATTAGGATTATTGATTGCTTCTACACCCCCACCTCCTCAAAAATTACCCTCTTCTATTATAGTTACCATGGTGTTCACATCTGCTTCTAAAACTGGGTCTTCATTTCTAGGCACCAATCTACTGGCTTTTCACACACACACACACACACACACACACACACACACATACATCTATGCATTTATATATTTTAAATATATGACATCATCTGATTTTACATGATTTGCATCTATGCATTTATTCTGTGCTGAGCAGTATTATTGATGAGCACTTATCATGCAGATATATTCATAATGAACCTCTAACTTACGGAATGCAGTATTTGAGGGAGGAACATTTTATGGGAGGGCCATAAAGATTGACAGATACAAGGACTGCATATACTGTGAACCATTGCATTGGGAAGACATTTTACAGCAAGGTGTTTATTAAATTATAGGCAAAGAAAAGATTTGTTGCATAGATTTAAGGAAATCAAATTATTTTAAATATAAAACATTTTCTATGCAATTAGAGTCTGGGTTGCATGGAGAATTATGACACTGTTACTGAATTAGAAAAATCCTTCCTTCGCAGTCTTTTCAGCCAAATATGGAGGTTTAACACTTGCAAGTACAGATAGTACTTGTATTTGATGTCTGTGAAGCTTATCTGACTTAAGAAAAGTCACTATCTTGTTATTTGAGGGACAGGTGATTGTCACCCTGTTTTTGCAGGAAACAATATATTTAGAAGTTCCTTGTAACTGTCATACATCTTTAAAATAATTTTTTTGGAAAGATGTACATAACTTGCATAGGTCTCAGAGAAATGATGAGTGACCCTTTCATCAGTGACGTGTAGAATTGTTTATTCTTCTTTGAAAAAATTGTTCTGTTTACTTAAAATAATTGATTCTTTTATCATCTTTCCTCTATTCACAAGAGATTTTAAAGGAATGGCTTAAGAAAATTTTATTGAAAAAAATAATAAAGAGCTTTCTCAAGAAAAATGTGGGTAAGCCGAAACTTCCATGATGAAAAGGGTAAAGAAATAAGTAGGTGAGATACCTGCCTACAAGTTCAATCTTTTGGGCTACTTGTCACATTGCTAATCGACTATGGTTTTGCACTAAAGAACTTTTATTCATATCTGGAGCTCGTATATTTGTCTAAGAGAAATCAGTTAATCACTGGGTTTTATCTCCAGGAAAGTACACATCTGAGGTCAGCTAAAAGACAGAATGAAGCTCAAAGAAAATAGTTTGATGAAAGAGGATGCAAAACAGTCAATAAAGTTGTTCCCTTATAACATAAATGCACTTTTGAGGGTCTTTAGTGGGCATACGTGCCATTTACATTGGGATTTTAAAAGTAAAAGTGTCTCATAGTTTCTTTAAACAGTTTCTCTAAGAACAAACATCTCACAAATGTTACATCTCTTCCATGAGTGGAAATAACCCAAATTCATTACTTTCACTTTGACCATTTACATGCCTCCTATGAATGACTTAGTAGGGAAGTTATAGAAGAATGACTTGTAGACAATTCATGCAGTTTGTATAAATATTTATGACACTGGACCCTGGGGGGTAACAGACATCAAAGGAATAATTACAAAATAGGATTGTGATTTTCTCCCTGAAACATAAATGCATGATGAAAACCATTCAAAAGCCTCTAGAATTTGGGAGAAGGCATTAGCACTCCAGTTATTTAAGGGGTTGATTGGAGGCACTACCCATCTCCTTTGCGATGACTCATTTTGAATCAGGTGGAAATGAGCCTTACATTTCTTTCAGAGAATGATTTAACACAGCTTGAATTAACATGTCAGTAAAATGTTCTAGAGCAATGACACTTTGCATTACAGCATAGCTACCTAAGACCTTAGTAATTAAGATAGAAAAGCAAAACATGAGTGAACTTCTTTCTACCACATATCAACCCAAAGTATATATTTCAAGCCTCCTCTGTTACTTTGAACCATAAATGAAGAGGCTACAAGGGCCAAATTTTGAGGGAAGAGCAAAGTATCTAGGTCTCATGATACCCTCCACAATTTAAACTTTCTTCAAGGTATTCAGGCAGTTTTAAATTGCTATTCCTTAGTAGGTAGGACATATAAAGAGACTTGATTAGGGAACTGAGGAAACAGAAAAGGCTGAAATTAAGTTAGAGTGAATTATGGCAGAAAAGGGTTGGCATGATTTGGGGAGAAACGGGACCTTCCAGGCAAAGTGACCTGGATCAAGTACCTCCTATGCCACATGCTGTTTGCATAATTCTGGCCATGCTACTTTCTCATCCTTGGGTTTTTCAAATATAATAAAATATATATTATATAATATATATCATATATAATTAATATATTATATAATATAATATATTCTATTATATTTGAAATATATGTATATCTCTCTCTGAACTGAGATAAGACAGATACACAATGTGTTAGTTCCTTCTTACATGCTGTCCTGACATGGATCATTTTATTTCTAGCCTGGACTTAAGGAACCAGTCCTGAGAAAGACTAGTTTGTGACTTCCTATTGTTCACAGAAGCCACAGTCTCCTCAGTTTCCAGAAGCAGTTTGGATTCTACAGGTTTCCTGAGAGGCATCTGTACTAAGGGACATGAGTAGGAAGACTGGATTGCTGATTAGTCTGTAAAATAGAAAAGACAATCATTTATGATCCACTTAGAATAAAGCCAAAGATTCACATGTGCTGTCTCATTCAACCTGAAGATTACCTTTAAAAAGAGGACACTGTTGATATTCTTTTAGATCTCCTTTTTCAGAGTACTGTAATTTTCAATGTAAAGATCTTTTACTTCCTTTGTGAGATTGATTCCTAAGTATTCCATTTTTTGGATGCTATTGTGAAAGGCATCTTTCTTAGTGAGTTTATTATTAGTGTACAGGAATGCTAATGATTTTTGAATGTTGACTTTGTATCCAGCTATGTGACTGGTAAAGTAATTTGGTTATTAAATCTAGAAGTCTTTTGGTGAAGTTTGGGGGTCTTTATATACAATACCATGTCATTTGCAAATAATGATAGTTTAACTTCTTCCTTTCCTATATGTATGCCTTTTATTTCTTTTTTCTGGAATAATTGCTCTGGTCTGTTTCCAGAAATATATTGAATAGGAGTGGTGATAGTAGACATCCTTGTCTTGATTCAGATTTCAGAGTGAAAGATTTCAGTTTTTGACAATTTAGTATGATGTTGGCTGTTGGTTTGTCATAGATAGCTTTTATCATGTTGAGATAAAGACCACTTATTCCAATTTCCTGTAGGGTTTTTTTAATTATCAATGGGCATTGGAAAGGTAGCCCTTTGTTGAAAGGTAGCCCTTGCTCGTGGGTAGGAAGACCCAACATAGTAAAAATGGCCATATTCCCAAAATGGTTATACAGATTTAATATAGTCCCAATCAAAATATGAACAGCATATCTCACAGAACTAGAAAAAAATATTCCTAAAATTCATTTGGAATCCGAAGACACCTAGAATAACAAAAATAATTCTGGGCAAATAAGGCAAGGCTGGGTGGATCACAATCCCTGACTAGAAATTATATTACAGAGCTATTGTGATAAAAACAGCATGGTACTGGGGGAAAGCAAACAAACAAACTAAAAATTCAGATCCAAGGATCTGTGAGAGAGAATAGAAGATGCAGAAACAACTTCAAACACACTCAGCAGCCTTCTATAAAGGGGCCAAACACCTTCACTGGATGAAAGGTAAACTCCTTAATAAAGGTGTTGGAAAAACTAGCTTTCCACATACCAAGAAATAAAACTAGACCCATGACTTTCACTATGCACTAAACTAAAGTGAAAATGTATCAAAGATCTCAATATTAAAACAGAAATACTAAATCTGCTGAAAGAATAGGTGGAACTCTTGAATACATAGGTATAGGCAAAAACTTTATGGACAAAACCTTGATTGCATGGAAAATATTGCAAAGAATCAACAATTGGGGACTCTTCTTATTAAAAAGCTTTCCTAAAGCAAAATAAATAACCAATAGAGTGAAGAGACAACCAAAAGTAGGAAAAAATGTTTCCAGCTCTTCCTCAGACAAAGAACTAATATCTAGAATATATAAAGAACTGAAAAAAATCAAATCCCCCAATATAAAGACCAATCTAAAACTGGGTAACAGATGAATACACACTTCTCAATTGAAGAAGTAAAAATAGCAAATAAATATATGAAGAAAATGTTCAACATCACTAGCCATTTAGACATGCAAATTAAAACAATACCTAGATTCCTTCTCATTCTAGACAGAATAGCTATTATAAAGAAATCAACTAATAACTAATGCTGGCAAGGCTGTGAGGGAAAAGGAAACCTCCACTGTTGCTGGGAGTGTAGGCTGGTGCAAACCCTGGAAATCAGTGTAAAGATTCCTCAGAAAACTCAGACTACAGATTTCTTTTAACCAAGCTATCCCCCTTCTTGGTATCTTCCTAAAAGAATGAAAAGCACCATATCACAGTGATATATGTACATCCATGCTTCTAGCAACAGAGTTTGTAATAGCTAGAT